AAAAAAATGTACATGATTAAGCAGCTATGAAGTGTGGCCAACTACATTTGTTCTACTACAGTGTGGCCATGATGTACAAGCATGAAGTCAACACTCRTAGTCTCATAGATTTTGAGGACCTGCTGTTTATAGAACCACATAGCCATGTCAGAATGTGATAATCATGCTAACACCCACAGCTCACAGCCTCCCCAAGTTTCTGTCCACAGCCATTCATCACAACCTCATAGGTAGACCCAAATTTTGAATAATTAGGTAAGCAACAACATTAAGGAGGAATACCGGTTGACAAAGCAGGTCAGGATGAAATATCAATAGCAGAATACCTTGCTAAAGGACGCCAGTCGACAAAGAAGGTCAAGAATAACAAGTACTTCCTCATGTCTGCTAAAATAGAACTCCCGGGCCAAACGCAGGAGCAACACTAACACTCCAGATTGTGCACACTGCACCATAAGTGATACATGTCAGGTAAAACCAAAATGAAAGATGGAATAAAAACATTAGTGACAGTTATAAAGAAGGATATTGTATTCTCCATCATCATAATTTACAAGTCCTTTTTTCTAATTAAAACAAAATTCCGTAAACCATTAACATGAAAACAAATTGGAGGATGAGGCTAAGCATGAATAAATTTTACCAAACCACAACAAGAGAAGTCTAATATAGTTATCCAAATTAAATACCCAGCTTAAAGATCACAAAGAAAAATTGAATGTTCAGCATTTAGGCCCATATACCTCCCAACGAACAAGAGCAGTATTTCTTTCAATGATTTTCAAAATGTGACCATGAGTTTGACTAGGAATCAGAAGGCCTTCAACCCCAGGAACATGCAGCGGCCAGTATGTCTCTATGATCTGAGAAATGTTTTCTATATCACCAGGGATCTCAAACAATGTTGATATACCAACTGACTTTTCTAAAAAGTTATACCTGTTGAAATGATAAGCAAAGAAAATAGCATCAGACTACACTGGTAGCCAGAATTGATCTGAACAGTATCCAAGAAATCTTTCAAGAATGAAAAATAGAAAAAAAAATAAAAAAAAGCAGTATACAATATATGCAATTATGGGCTGAACATTCAGTACAGAAAATGGTTTGCATTATTGGTTTAAGCATGAACAACTTTATGTTTGGGAAAGAATGCAGGTTATGGATATGCACTTCCCCAATCCTAGTACAGTCTTTACTTTCAAAAATTAGGATGGAAGATTTAAAGTAAATGTCTTTCCTCCCTAATCACTACAAGGAATGTGCGGATGCAAAAGATGGAGTAACAGAAATTTTCTAGTATTTCTGTGTTTAAAAAAATAAAAGAAAACGGAAATATAACAGCCACTCATCATTTTATAGTCATCAAATAGTTGCTTCTACAGGATATAAGAATCTCTCCTACCAACACAATATCAAAAAAGTGGTAACCAATCAAGTGGTATTCATCAAAATTTGCCTGGGGGTTTTGATTGGTCAAAGTTCTTCCAGTATTACACCTATACATATTTATGCATATATATTTATATAAGCATCCTAACAAACTGACTTCCAACTACCATGAGAGGTGTTCCATGATGTGTCATCTATCCAGATTCCTCATATTAGATTGGCATGATACTTCCAAATCAAAACCCCAGCCAAAATTACATCACCATTTCTGTTAGTAAGCTAGGACACCATCTTTTGCTATTGAATCAACAAACTCGTTAACATCAGTAAGAGCACAAATATAAACAAAAGAGAATGGGGCACTCTTGGAAAATATACACAGCCAGCCTCATATACGCAACAGTAAAACTAGAAGAATCTGCTTCTACTGTAAAGGGTCCTCCAAAGAAAGAGAGAGAAGACCCTACAATCTTCTACAGGGCAAAAAAATGGAGCCATGCAAACAAATTAACAAAACAAAAACAAAGAACAACCAACACAGAAAATATAAATACATAAAAGAAATTCTACTTACACACATTTAGAAGGCCATGTTCCTTCGCAGAGGGCAGATAAGAAGCGAACCAGTTCAACAGTTCGAAATGGGAACTCACCCTCTAAAGTGCAAAGAAGACACCGAATAGGACCATCTATAAAACTGTCTCTATCCCAAAATTGAACACAAAGTGACTCCTGCACAATAAATGGCAATAACCTCCATAAACTAAGCTAGTTACAGCATAACATAGTGAACGTGAATATCTTTATAAATTATAACAACCAGTATTGTGGCCAAACCTCTCCGTGATAAATTTTGCAGAGGATATCCAAAATCAACTTAAGGGTATCATCTTCTATCTGCACCATGAAGAAAGAAAGGATAAGCAAGAAGCATAGTAGATTATTTCAAATATAATAACAGAATTTCAAACCAAAGTTACCTGAAGTGTAATCTCATAAGATGCAATAAATGCAGAAATGAATGTCCTCAAGACACTTCGATAACCACTAATAGGACCCTGCAAGATAATTTCCACAATCAATATGGAAAATTAGCATATGTTCTCTTTTAAGAAAGAAAGCATCTTAATAATACACTAATTTCCATGACCAGCTAATTAAAAAGAAAAGTAAATGCATGTACACAATTCCTTGATAATCCAAACGAGGAAATAAAATTTTAACAGAAAAGAAGACTGATGTATGCAGAGAGTAAAATGATCTAAAATCTAAGCTGAAACGGAATGTGCAGGGACCTGCACAAGCCACCTTGAATGTTGAGCAATGAAAACATGGTAATGGAATGTCATAAGAAGTTTTGATGGTTCAGTCAGGTCTGATTGTGTTGGAAAACGTGGGGTTATTGGTTCAGATCTGAAAATAGAATTGTATATATTCCTAGGATTGTGGAAGGATTGATTTAGAAAGTTTTTTCTTTCTTTTTCTTTCTTTCTATTTTTGTACTTTCTATTTTCTCTTCTTTCTATTTTTTCTTCTTTCTATTTTCTTTTCTTTCTATTTTTCTTTCTTTCTATTTTTCTTTCTTTCTATTTATTGCAGCAGCTTACTGTAAAAATATGCCCATTGGCAATAGAATGAAACATATCAGTATTCTACCATTCCAAAACAGATTGCACAAGGTTTAAAACTTTGTCAGAATTATTGATATTTTAACATTTCTTTCTGGTTCCAAGGATGACAAGAACAAAGTGCTGAAAAATATCTGAAAAGGATAAACACTTGTGAGCTGCTTTAAAAGAAGAACCTTGGCAGACTAGCTATCTCCCCCATGTCTGCATCCTTTGCCTGAGAGAAGGGGAAACAACTGATCACCTCTTCATCCTCTGTCAGGAAACCAGAGACATTTGGTGTCATTTCCTCCAGCTAGCTGGGTATAGGTGGGCTACTCCAAATCAACTTCAGGACCTGATTCACCAGTGGCAAGGAAAAGGATTGAGCAAGAGAGGCAAGGTGTTTTGACAAATAATTCTGCATGCTGTGCTTTGGGAAGTTTGGGAAGAAAGGAACAACCGCCCTTTTGAGAATAGGGCAAGGTCAAGGCCTGATTTGATCTCACACAACACCTATCTCTGTAATCAGTGGGCAGCCAGTTCAGACAAGTTTAAAGGAGTCTCCATAAATGACCTCAACAGGGACGCCGGTCTCTTCCTTTTCTCCTCCCCCCCCCCCCACCTCCTTCCCCCCAATCTACAGGAGGCCTGCCCTTAGGATGGAAGAAACATGGACCCTAATCTTCGACGGAAGTGCTTCAAGTAACCCCGGATCTGCTGGTATTGGAGGAGTACTAAGGGATGAAAATGGAAACATCTGCTGGGTGTACAGCGGACCGATAGGTACAGCTGGCTCTACTAAGGCTGAAGTGATGGCTGCACTTACAGGGATCTGCTTAATCAACTAGCTAGGCATTCAGAACTTAACCATAGAGGGAGATTCAGCTAACACCATAAAGTGGCTAGGAAGACAGAAGGCTGGACTGTGGAGACTCAGTCACTCCCTAGCAGAAGCAAGGGATTTATTGGCAGCTTCAAATGCAAACCTGCACTGGATCCCAAGGGAGCTCAATGCTCTTGCAGATGGGTTAGCAAAATTAGGTGCTCTTTTAGAACTGTACTGTGATAAGATCCCCCCTGTGTAATTCTCAGGGGTCTGATCCCTGTTTTTCTTTCTTTTTCTCCTTGTACACCCTCTTGTGCACCCCTCTTTTTGTTAAATGAAATCAGTTAACTTTTCTCAAAAAAAAAATTAAGAAGTTTTGATGGTTCAGTCAGGTTTGATGGGTGTTGGAAACTCCAAAAGAGATGAATCGCTCTCTCTATTACACCAAGGTTTAAAAATTGTCAGAATTTTTGAAATTTCAACATTTCTTTCTGGTTCCAAGGATGGCTGGAACGAAATGTTGAAAAATATCTAGTTTCAGCCCATAATAGGTAGTAAATAGGAGAAAAATCAGATGGTTATGTAAAACACAATTAAAAGAAGGGGCAAGATAAATGTCTAAACATAATTGTAAATCATGTACCCAAAAATATAATTTCAAATATACTGATTATTCCCCTGAAATTTTTGGCCTGCTACATCATCCTGCAAATTTTCAGAAATTACTTTCATTATGACCAAGGGCAGAACACTACTCTGTTATGGGCCCGCGAATAGGATCTCGCCACGGATCGGTCCACGGGGAAAACCTCCTGTTTTCCCTTGTTCCTCCCTTTTCTTGAGGAACCTATCTTGGCGCCTTAATGGTGATTTGTTCAAGAGATCACCAACTCTCCTCTACTCTGTCTTGACTGAGAATTTCCATGCCTTTATTGAATATTATCAGCTCCTTAAATAGAGGATTACAAGAGATAAGAGTCCTGCTTTTAGGAAGACTCCCTACTAATCTATACTACTGAATAGATAAGATAAGAACACTGAATAGATACGACTCCCTACTAACCCTACTACTGAAAACAGATAAGATAAGAATGCTGAATAGATAAGATAGAAATGTATCTAGCTGGAATTAGATAAGATGAGAACTGAGAACACCCAATTACTGCTGTTGCCGGCGGCTATACTTCTTCCCAATAAACGCATCCACATCATACTCGAAACTCAGATCTAAATCCTTGACTTGATATAATTTATTTCACCTCAACTGCTCATTAGAATGTTAATCTTGAAGTGAAAGAAGATTAACAGTTGATTATTGATTTGATGAGAAATGATTTCCCAGGGCCTTGGCAGTTGCACTACTGCATTCAGAAAGCTAGATTTATAGTTACTTGTATGAACACCTTGATCGGCTAGTATAAAGACCAGCAGCCAGAACCTGTATAGAATCTGTATCAGAGGCCAAAAGCCCCAGATTTTATCAGTAGTTGATTCTTGATTTTTTTTTGATAAATAAGAAGGATAAATTTCATTAATAAAAACTAGTGCAGTTGCAAGCTTCCTGCGGAGAGGCACGAGCTGCGTCCTCTCCTAACAGTAGGAAGAAAGACAAAAGATAGAAAATAGATTCAGTCTACAATTGAGCCCAATACAAACTTTCCCTATTTACCCCTTGCTTTGCAAGACCATCAGCCATAGAGTTTGCTGATCTCCCCACCCATTGTATTCTCACTGTCAAGCTTCTTGTTAGGTAGTTGAATTTTTTAATTTCATTCTTAAAACACCA